GATCATAGTTGTATAGTTGTTCATTTCATTCCTTTACTTCATAGTTTATTGCTAGGGGCTAGCAATATTTAAGTTCGAGGGTGTGATGAGCGCTGAAAAGTGTGTATTTAAACCCCTTAAGCTTGAGTATTCTAGGACCTTTATCTATCTTATTTTTCATTTTAGACTAATTTCGTGTTGTTGCCCTTTTCAGGCACTTATCCCCAAAATAAGTCAATTCAGCCAAATTAGAGTATAAAAGAAGCAATCTCAAGCTAAATGGAAGAAAGAAGCAAAGTGGAAGCAAAGTGGTGGAAAACAGCAAGTTTCAATCGATCAGACAAATCTTCGATCGATCTCACAGTGATCGATCCAGCCTTATCAAGATGGATCGAGCCTTTTGTCCTTATTCCCTAGAATTTCCATCTTCGATCGATCCAGCATCCTTTCGATCAATCTAACTTCTTTGATCTTATCCCCGCCTACCACTTTTGTCTTTTTCCCAAAATATCTCAAAAATATCTCAGATCTGTCAATATTCCAAAAGGTGCCACCATAGTTCGATCGATCGAACCCCCTCAAGTTCGAAAAAAAACACAGAGTCTAGCTCATTAAAAGATGGCCCGTGGTGCAATCATTGAATGGGCCCTAGTGCACGAGGCCTGACCATTGGGTGTGACACTTGAGCTACCTATATAAGGATTTTGAGCCATTTTTACATAAGATATATACAATCTTAGAGATACACAATCTTGGAGAGAGAGGTGAGGAGTCTAGAGATTAGAGAGATACACACCATTTGGGAGTTCTTCCATTCATCTATAGTTTCTATCAAGAAGAAGATCATTCCTACCATGGAGATGGCCCTTCAGGGTTGGATGACTACATCAATGAGTGGCTAAGCATCTCCTTAGGGCTAGAGTTAGCTCTAAGCATGCCTTATAGATCTTGATATTTTGTATTTTGAGGGGATTTGTGTTATAATTCTTGTCTAGACATTTGATTTATATATGAATCTTGTTTCTATAATGATTTGTGTTGTTTAATACTTCCAATTGATCATTTCATTCTACTCATATGTCTATATATGCTATAATAGATGTTCATGTGTTTATCTCTAGGTTTTGTGTTATTGATGCATGTCTATGTGTGTTGATGCTATGAATCTAGGAATTGTCAAGACATGGTGCTTTAATGGAATACTCTTGTGGTTTATTTGATGGTTCATACTCATTTTTTGATGGATTGTACCTCAACCTTAGTTTAATTAGTTTAATTTTCATGTCCCTAGTTTAGTTGTAGTGTAGTTGCCTTACTTTCTTAGATAAGAAGACAATCCATGCTTCTTATTTGATGTTCTATGCTTATGAATGCAAGTAGTATAATTCTCTAGCTTGTTAATGTGTTTTGATTGTGAGCTTAAAAGAATGAATAATAGCTTAATTTGATATATTGTGCTATTCATTAGGTTGTCTAGACAATGTATACTTAATTAGTCATCCATGCTTATTGATTCAATCAATCACACATATGAGTATTGCAACATATATTCCCCCTCATTCATTACACATTGAATGTCTAGAAAGGTGATGTTTAGTGGTAACCTCTAAGTCCCAAGATCCCTCTCTCTTATTCTCGACCCTTTATTTACTTTAATTATTTTGTATTGAATTTGTTTAACATTGTAGTTTAATTAACTAATCAAAACATCTTTGATCACTCGACCTACCAGTCCAACGTTATTTTCATATCAATATTGCTTCCTTACTCTTGGGACGATCCTTATTCATTCTAGCTATATTAGTAGTTAGAAATAGTAGTGACACTTTACAAATTCAAACTTAGCCACTCTTTAGTATGTTTTAGCTTGCTACCCACGACACACCCCAAATTACTTGGCTTTCATTTCTTTATAGTGAAATAAGGTTGAGGCTTGTGGTACTCCAGTGCAAAAATTAAGTGCATGTCCATGAAATGGCACTAATGAAGGATGGTATGATTTAATAAAAATATATGAATGACTATATATATATATATATATGATTTCTTACAAGGTTGAGTATAATTGTGGTCAAGACAAGAAGCATATAATGAAAATACCATTACAGTAAACTGCAAGAATCCGGCACCCATTATTTACTCTGCATGTATATCATGGACACCACTAAGCATGTTAATTTATAATTCTATTCTAAAATAAAGTAAAATCTAAATCAAACGATTTGTTACTAAAAAAAAAATAATTCTTAAGAAATTAGAAAACATAAATTAATTTTAAAGAATTATGAAAGACAATTTTTTAACTGAATTTTGATAAATTGTTAACCAAGTTGGTTTTTTTACTTTTTTTTTTTATTCTTAGTTTTCAGAAAATAGAACCAAACAAGTCTTTATTTTTTACTCTTCTGAATACTTATTATATTTTGATTTTGCCTATCATAATTTTTTGAAATAAGAATGATATTCCACTTTACTAACTTTTTTTTTTTTTTTTTTTTTTTTTTTTTCTGAAATGTTTTACAACATATACCATTAACCATCTAATTTCAAGGCGTGCTTTGTTTCCCAGTTGGTGCGAAGCTCCACGGTTTGTGGTTCGAGCTGCCTACCCTCCTCACCTCTAACTTTTAATCTACCAATTCTCAGGCTAAATAAATAAATAAAATATATATATATATATATATATAATAAAATAAAATAAATACATCTACTTTCAAAAATGAATTTTTTTACTAAACTAAAACAATTGATACTAACAAAACAACCTTCGGTGACTTCTTTTTCTTTTTTCTTTTTTAATTTTTTTTTATCTTAGCAAAACATAAACTCACACACTCACTTATTCCTGTGAGGATTTAAACCCTCGACCATACACTTATTTCTATTAGATTTAAAATACCCTTGACCATATTAATTACTTTAACATAATTACTTATTTTTCGCTATATAGAATTGGAGCCTTTGAATTGAAATTAGTAAAATTGAAAAAAATTTAGTTCAAAAATTTTCAATTTTATCAATTTCGATTCCAAAACTCTAATTCAATGTAGTGGGGCATATCCCGGAAAAATAAATAAATAAATAAATAATCTGAAATCTTGTTTTCTGTTGGTGATGGAACAATTAAAACATGGATGGGTCAATAAAGGATTTAAGGGCAAAGTACGGATGCTATATTGTTCAGGTAAAAAACCCAAAAAAGCTTCTGCGGACCAACTCTTTTAGTTCTATGGGCCCAGAAACTTGATATCCTGCCTCCCACTAACAATAGAAATAACCTCAAATGAGGCCTCATTATCATGTTTATTTCACTTTCAATTTGTCTTTCTACAAATATTATATATATATATAAATTCCTCGCGTGATTAAAGTCTTTCTAAGAGTACTTTGAAAGGAGATAAAAATAAAATAAATAAATAAATAAAACGATGAATATAAAATATGAAGTGGTTTAATTAGCAATTTAAAGGTGAAAACAGGATAATAATTAATGAATTAAACATATTAGAAATATATATATATATACACACACACACACACAGACTAGATTATGTTGTTGCATGTGGAAAAAACAAGTTTCAAACATCTTAATTTATTAATAACTATCACTACTAAGTCATGCTCTTGGCACATAATGAAATTCCCATACAATCATTTTTAATTATTAGTGAATTTCTTTTTCATTGTTAAATTCCTTCAATGAGAAATTGTTTATGTGCTTCCCACCTTGACATTTTGTTAGAAATGTTTTAGTATTCTCATTTTTAGTGCTTCTTGAATATTTTTAGTATTTATTGGGTATTTTATTTTCTTTTAATTTTTTTGTCAATAATATAAAAGGCTGCATGTAACATAACTAAATAGTTTTTAGAATATTGATTATCATATTCAACTTCTATAGTATATATATATATATATATATATATATATATATATTAAGCAATTACTAATGTTTCATGGCCCTCCAACACAAGTGAGCTGCCTGAGTGAGACCAAACATTCTTCTCAACCATCAAATTTGGAAAACAGACCAATTCAGTGCTTCCAAACGCAAGAAAAACTGAGTTCAACTAATTTTTTTCAATTCGAATATCAACTGGCGCTTCCAAACGCAAGAAAAACCGAGTTCAACTAATTTTTTTTCAATTCCAATATCAAGACAGACCGTCAATTCGGTGCTCCAAACGCAAGGTAAGAGAACAAGGGACCAATAAAAACTAGCCCATTGAACCAATAAAAGCTTTATTTAGTAAGCTTAAAGCAATTAAATAATCCACTGGCATATGGTCGGCAAAGCAAACAATCTGTGCAAAAAATCAAGAGATGGATAGAAGTTTATGAGAGAGATGGATAGAAGCTTGACAAATATAACCGGTCACATCTCACAAATACAAGAAATTCAAGATTCTACATTCATCAAAGGACATCTAACAAAATGGTATAACCTCTCAATTTTCAAAGAGAAAATGAGGGGTTCGAGCCACGGTGTGAACAAAAAATGTGCATTGTTAGTATGTTTCTTACCAAGGTAAAATAAAATAAAAAATTACATTCAACTCATTAGCTATAGCACACGTCTTGTTGCCTATGAGAGTTGCATCTTTCTTAAATCTGCTATAAACACTACTAAAACTACTTAAATGATTTTGCCAAGGTATATTTTTTTTCTTTTGGCATATATATAATTGCTACCTAAAATTAAATTTTTCTAAAATTTAACAAGAAACCTAATTAATAAAAACGACTAAATACGATAAAACTGCCCTCCTACATCAGTTTAGGACCAACCTGATCTTCTTCAACCCTACCAGTTGCCAGCTCCAGTTACCTAAACAGAGGAACAAATCACCTCAGTGAAGAATTACAACACAATGACCATCAAATTGCTGAAGTATATAATAAAATGCCCTCGTGTATTCATATAGTATGGTGGATCTGTGCAAACAAAAGAAATGTCGTTCATTACACGTCACTATTTCTTCTATGAACAAACATTTTATACTTGCAAGGAAATTCCGCGAAATAAATAAATAAAAAGGACAGGTAAACTGACTCTTAAGTATTTTTCTGTGAAAACCTTTTTCTTGTCTCCGTAATTGCTTCATGCCTTCTCTTATATATGTCCTTAACTACCTCCCGGTATTGCAGTTCAATCATTTCTAGTTCCAATCTCAACACCTCATCTTCATCCTCGAGAGATGAAGAAGAAAAATAGATTGAACAACTTGAAATGGTTGACGCACTATTGCTGCCTTTGTCCACGACCTTGCCTATGTCACCGGGGCTCAGATCCAATTCCTCTCCTAACAGGGATTCCTTAAGTGGTCTCTGCAATCCATTTCCATTACAATTCATGCATCCTATCTCCGAATTCACAAAGGTATTAGTGGAGCACCTCTTCTTATCATTCCCCTCATCAGAGACTGCACGAGCATATGAGATTTCGAAACACCAATCTTGTGTAATGGACTCACCCTGAAATCCATAATCAGCGTGGGAAATAATCTCATCAGGCTTTGAAGCGTCAGGGCCATCCTGCATTGGATGAATGGATCCTTCATAAGAACTTGAAGCAAGAGAAACTTGTGGACTTGGAAGATTAACAGCTTCAGTAGTGTTTGGAACAGATGGAACTGATATTTCTCCTCCATGCTGAGGTGATCGAGAGTCACTGTGATGTCCGTTAGGGGTTTGAATTGTACTCAAAGCAGCTAGGTGATCAACAGAAACACAAGGTTTCCAATTGGGTATTAAATTTATTAGCAACAAATCAATCAGCTCTGCTATGAATAGAACATTCTGATCTGCTAGTTCAAGTTGCTCGACCATTTCACTGGAAACCGAAAGGGCTGTATCACTATCAAGGTAGAAGAGGAAATGGATATTCCTGACCCGACCTGCATCTAATGAAGAAGAATAATTATTTCCCTACTGTAAATATGTGCATAAGAAAATCTCAGTTATATTAATTGAATGCAGAGAAGACTCAGAAGATGATAATGATAATGAAAATAATAGAGCATGTGATGTGCTTACCATTATTATCTGCTATTCTCAGTATAAGTGATACAGAATTTTCATCGGTACCCTCGCCCTTTAACAAAAAATAATTGTCTTTTCTTGATCTCCGTACCTCCACGCACAAAGAGTGAGACCCTCCATCAACCGAATTATAAACAAAGGTGATAGTGAGCTCACTATCATCATCATCAAACACACTCTCATCATCATCATCAACATCCATGGAGGGTAGCCTGTTACGTGCTGTACTAGGTCCTTCTGAAAGCAGACACCGATCTCCAAAGCCTCCCATTTTAGGTATAACTATATCTGGAAGTAGCAATGGACAGTTTCCTGGTGAACCATCCATTTGGAGGAAAGGGTCTTTAAGAAGCTCCTTTGCTGACAACCTTTGAGATGCAGGGACTAGACACTTTTCTATGAAAAGTTTCACTTCTGGATCTTTAACCTTAGAGAGGGCAGCAGGCTTTATTCCCTGTAAAGGACTACAATCACGTAACTTACCAACGTTTGGCATAACTTCAGAAGTTAGAGAAAACAAATTGTTGTTTATCCTAAATAACTTACACATGAAACCTTCTTATATATTTGGGCTGAATTTTTACATTCACTATATGGATATTCAAATGTCACCATCTCCAGCATGCACATCCCAAAAGAGTATACATCAGCCAACTCATTGTAATCCTCATCATACAGCTCAGGTGCCATAAACTCAGGGGTTCCTACAACAATCACATCAACATAAAAGTTGAACAAACCAGCATGAAACAAGTGAAATGGGCACAAAGAAATAAAAGAAACATTCAAATAAACCATCAAAATGTGAAACGTGATGTGGGATGAGTTTTATCTAAACCACCCGGGCCACCCCCATCCCCCAAAACCACCACAAATACACACACCAGACATGGTAAAAAAATAATTAAAAGGGAAATATAAACACTAATGGCCTCTTATAAGGACCATGTTCATCATTGGCCATCACCAATTTGGCAGTACTCTATAAGGAAACACTATATATACCAAGTACACTTCTTGCATTAGCTTGTTGCATGACGGTAGCCAGCCCCAGATCTCCGATCTTAACTTCACCTTGGTTGCCATTTATAAATATATTATCACACTTAAGGTCCCTATGCATGATTGGTGGGTCTTGACAGTGAAGGTAGTTCAAACCCATCAAAATCTGCCTTGCCCAACCCTTCACAGCTTTTATTTGAACCTTCTTGTGTTTCTTGCGGTACCTAAATCACCAATCACATCCACTAATCACGGTACTAACCTCACCATAGAAAAGAAAAAGCAAATTTTAAGGGGAGAGATGATGGAGAAGAAGCATACTGTCTCAGGTTACCCGAAGTGAATAATTCAGTAATTATATTAACCGTCTTGTTGCTATCATCTATCCAAGAATTATAATACTTTATTATGTTGTTATGTTTTAAGGATTTCAAGAGATGGACTTCAGAGTACAGCTTTTCTAAGTCTTCTGGTGACTGCAACACCTCATCAATGCGAACTTGACTCCAAGCAACCTCAATCCCATCACCTTCATCAAATGCCTGGTAACTGTAAAAATTAAATTAAGGAAAGCATGTACACAGAGAAGACTAATTTCAGTAACAATATATATATATATATATATAGACTGCAGTTTGCTGCATAAAATTAGGTCTAAGTAGCATCGACACATTCATTCTCAGTAATTATGTTTCAGTCAGACACTTGTGTGACTGAATCTTATCCAGCATAAAATTAGGCATTGACATTCTTTGCATACATCCTTAATTTTTTTCTTTTTTTATAAAAAAAAAAAAAGAAAAAAAAAAGAAAAGAAAATAGTAGTAATAATTTTAGGCATTTCAATTCTCACTGGCATGCATTGCACACTCTTGGGATACTTTATGTTCTATTCTCCAATAGATTTTATTTATTTCTTATTTTTATTTTTATTTAATGAGGAAAGAATCATTATAATGTATCGTTGTATACAGAAAAAGTTCCGAAGGTAGACGTATGATTATAAAGGAAAACTAATATACACAATTTGGGCCAATTTAAACTTTTGAAGTGAGATTAATGATGGTTCAATCAGAGGTGTCAGATACATATCATGTCGGAACCACAAATTGTACCCTGGGTAACATACATAAATTCCACAGTTAGGCTGCTTAATAAACTAAGTATTTGGAATTATATTTATATCCCATAAATCCCAATTCCATATAAACAATTCCTATGTGAAAATAGAATCTTTAAATTCGACAGAGGTGGAAATCAACTTCAATAAAAGTGCTTTCGTTGTTGTGGAATAAGAAGCTTTCGTATCTTATTGCACATATTTAATTTATTCGGAGCTATTAGAGCGGAATCCACTTTTTGGGGAATATGAGTCGAAGTAATAACAAGAATATTTCTAGTGAAACATCTTTCACAATCCCTGGAGAGATGGTTCACTAATAGACCAAGGGATAAGTAATTCGACTCATTCACATCCAGATCATGAATGTTTGGAATCGATTTTACGCTATAGACAATTAAAACCTCCCCGTCTATGCCCTGTTGTAATGATTCCTCTGACATTACGACCTTTACCACAACGATGTTGTCCAAAAGAAATTGTTGGAGTTATCATTTCGATCTAGTCCCAACTCGCTTGATGTTAAGAAAAGATCTCTTGCAGGAAGGTTGGAAAAAACACTAGCCTTGCTCAGTTCATAATGAGAATATTTTCCTCGTAATCATAAGAAAGTGGATTTTTTAGCTACGGGCCTAGCAAAAGAAAAATTGGGATAGGATCAAAAGTAACTTGGTAAAATTGGCGTACTCAATTTGAGAGCCTGACTATCATTACATACAAGCGAAAAATTACAAATATGGAAAAGAGAATAAAATCAAATCAAAATAAAGAGAATAAAATCAAATCAGAATAAAAATAAAATCCCTAAAAATTAGCCTATATTGAAGACCCAATAAATTTGCCATAATCGTTGAGTCAACTTATAGATAAGATTTCCAACACTCCCCTCAAGCTGGAGCAAATATGTTGACTAAGCCCAGCTTGACTATGGAAGACTAGAGAAGAGAAGACCCAACAGACTTTGTGAACACATCTGCAGTTTATTCTGAAGAAGGAACAAAAATAGAATTAATGATACCCGATCGAACCTTCTCTCGAATAAAGTGAATGTCTACCTCAATATATTTCGACCTTTCATGTAAAACAGAATCAGAAGCAAGCATAATGGCTGATTTATTATCACAAAACAGCCTTGAAGAACCTTTCTGTACAAGACCCAACTCTCCCAAAATTGATTGAAACCAAAGGAGCTCACAAGTCCCTTGAGCCATAGCTCGATATTCAGCTTCAGCAGAGGATCTAGAAACAACAGCCTGCTTCTTACTCTTCCATGATATGAGATGATTACCATAGAAAGTACAGAAGCCAGAGGTAGAACGTCTATCTGTCTTACATCCAGCATAGTCTGCATCAGTAAAGCATGAAAGTCCAGACTGATTTCCTGAGGCATAGAACAGACTAAGACCAGGGCACGACTTAAGGTACCTCAAAATATGGTAGACTGCATCCATATGAGCTGAGCGAGGGGCATGCATGAATTGACTAATCACACTAACAGCAAATGTCAAATCGGGCCTTGTGTTAGTCAAGTAGATAAGACGACCTACTAAACGTTGATACACGGATGGATCTGGAAGTAATTCCCCTGACTCAACAGAGAGTTTAAGATTGGGATCCATAGGAGTGGAAGCGGGTCGACACCCAAGCATGCCAGTATCTTGAAGAAGATCTAAAACATATTTCCTTTAAGATAAAGAAATTCCACGACGGGATCTAGCAACCTCAATTCCAAGAAAATATCAAAGAGGACCTAAGTCCTTCACATCAAAGGACTTTTGCAGATGAAGTTTCGCCTGAGCAATCCCTGAAGCATCATCACCTGTGATAATGATATCATCCACATATACTAATAACATAATGCAACGACCATCAGAGCGACGTCGAATAAAACAAGTATGGTCTGAGTGGCAGTGCACAAAGCCCATGGATAAAACAACATCGTTGAAACGGCTAAACCAAGCTCTAGGAGATTGCTTCAGACCATAAAGAGACTTCCGTAGCCTACAGACTTTCCTAGCATACTCCCCCTCAGCCCGAAATCCAGGGGGTGGATCCATATATAGTCTCAAATAAGTCTCCATTAAGAAATGCATTCTTGACATCTAACTGATGCAGAGGCCAAGAATGGGCAGCAGACAACGAGACAAGCAGTCGCACAGACGTCAACTTAGCCACAGGAGCAAAGGTAGCACTAAAGTCTTTACTCGGAATCTGAGTAAAGCCTTTTGCCACCAACCGAGCCTTATACCGATCAATAGAACCATCGGCTAAGTACTTCACATTAAAGACCCATTTGCAGCCAACCATTTTCTCCCCAGAAGGTAAAGCAACAAGTTCCCATGTATTATTATGGTGTAAAGCATCCATTTCTGTTGTCATAGCAGACACCCAATTGGGATCCTGGAGTGCCTCTGACACAGATCGAGGAATAGAAACGGTCCCAATTTTGCCCAGGAAGGATTTATATGCACCTGAAAGACCATCATAAGAGACATACTGGGAAATAGGGTGGTTAGTGCTACTAGAAAAACCATACCAATTAGGAGGATGACGATCACGGGTAGGATAATGGGAGGTATGCTCAGGAATTGCAGGAGCAATAGGAGAAGGAGAGTTACCTGGACCTGGTTCGGAAGATGATTTGGGCAAGGGAGGTTGAGTGCGATGGCGACGAGAGTAGACCTGCAAAGGTGGAGGGGAACCTTGCATAGATGGAGAAGGAGATTCCAGGACAGTGTGATTTTCAAAGAGAGGAACAGGACGGGCAATAAGAGAAATCTCCTTCTCCAGATCACAAGAGAGAGAATCCTGTACCACAGAATTAGTACTATAAAAAGGAACAATTTCATGAAATGTCACATCAAGAGAATGATACATATGTTTGGTCACAGGATCATAACAACGATAGCCCTTTGACATAGCAGAATACCCTAAGAAAATACACCTAATAGATTTATCATCAAGTTTATGACGAAAAGGATTACGGTTATGAACAAAACAAGTACAGCCAAAAACTCGAGGCAGAAGGTGAAACAATGTATAATCAGGCTGGAGAATCTAAAGTGGTGCCTTACCACCCAAAACTCGACTGGGAGTACGATTAAACAGAAAAGCAGCTGTAAGAACAGCCATGTGCCAATAGAATTTAGGCACATGCATACCACTCAGAAGACATCGGACCACAGACATAAGATGATGGTTTTTGCGTTCAGCCACGCCATTTTGCTCAGGAGTATAGGGGCAAGTGAGTTAATGTAAAATCCCCTTTTTATTAAGTTCAGACCGGAACTCATTCGAAACATATACTCGTCCATTATCAGAACGAATATTACGGACAACAGTGTTATACTGGGTTTTGATCATTTGAAGAAATTAGGTAAATAAAATAAACACATCATATTTCTTTTTCAATAAATAAACCCAAGTACAACAAGAATAATCATCAATAAATGTCACATAATATCGATGTCCAGAGAAAGCAGTAACTGGGGAAGGGCCCAGACATCAGAATGAATAAGATCAAACATACTAGGAGCACAACTCATATAAGAAATATAGTTAGTTCTAGTATGTTTAGAAAACTCACAAACTTCACATTGAAACTTATGGTCCTTACATGCTTTATTTAACGAAGGAAACAATAGACATAGATATTGAAAGTTTACATGCCCCAAACGTGCATGCCACAGACTAAAAGTGCGAAAAGAAACATCATAAACACTAGAAGTAGGTAGGACAGAAGCTTGAAGACTCGTTCCTGGTGGTTCCCCAAAGTAATAAAGCCCATCACGCTCATAACCCCTGCCAAAAATCCTCTTCGAACAAAGGTCCTGCAACAAACAGTAATCTGATAAGAATATAACTGCACATTGGAGGTTTTTTGCAAGTCGACTAACAGATAAAAGGTTAAAGGCAAATTTAGGTACATGAAGGACAGATGAAAGAGTAATATCAGGAGACAGACAAACATCACCCTTACTGTGAATGTAAGATGTAGAGACATCCGCAAGATACACAGATTGGGTAACAAGTATGATATTAGAAGAAAAAACTGATAACTCACCAGTCATGTGATCATTGGCCCCAGAATCCAGAACCCAAGTGGGCTGCTTGGCCTTAACATGCTATGCAGTAGGAGTACCTGTAGCAATAGTTGTAGTGGGAGCAGTTGAAGGAACACTAACTCTAGAAGCAAGGGAGCCAAGCTGGTCCTGGATATGCCCAATCTAAGACTGAAGCTAGCTCAGTCCAGGAAATACAGTAGATCTACCAGTAGTAATAGGAGTTTTTGCAACAGCCGCAGTACAAGAAGAACCAGTTCTAGATAAACGGTTCCTAGAAAATTTTTGCTTCAGTTCAAGATGAAGTTTGAAGCAAGGAGCCTTAACATGTCCAACCCCTCCACAATGGTGACAAATAATCTGACCTCTAGAAGCTCGTGATCCAAAGTTGGCTGCAAAAGCCATACTATTCCCAGCAGGCTCAGACACTGGTACAGGAACAATTGAGGGCTGAATTAAACGGTACCTGCGTGCTTCACCATCAACAGTAGCAAAGGCTTCCAACAGGGATGGCATTGGTGATGCATTCAAGATCTGAGACTTTAGTGGTTCAAATTCTGGGTGTAATCCTATCAAAAACTGATAGGTATGCTGACGATCAAGACGTTTGACAAGAAGAGAGGCTGCCTCAGAAGGAAATTCACTAAATGGCTCATATTGAGCTAGTTCCTCCCAACGAGATCTCAAATACACAAAATAATCAGTTACAGACAAATTCAGGCCTTCCTGCGAGGCCTTAGCAATATCTTGATATAATTCAAAAATACGAGCATCATTCCTAGAATGAGCATACATTTGATTCAAAGCAGTCCACAAGTCATTAACAGAGTCATAAAACATAAATATATTATAAATGCGTTCCTCCACAGAATTAAACATCCATCCTAAAATGGTGCAATTGTCCATATCCCACTAAGCATATTTAGGATCTTTAATATCTAGCCTCTTTTCAGTACCCAAAATCCACCCTGATTTGCCTTTTCCACCAACATAGAGGCGGAGGGAACGAGCCCAGGATGCAAAATTACGGCCATTCAACAACACACTAGTAACTCGTTGAGCCGGTGTGTGTTGCGCCGAAAAGAGAGTTTCTTTATTATTACTTGATTCAGCCATAATATTAAATAGATCAATTCAACAGATTACCAATAATTTCAAATAAAGGAGGAATAAACTTGATTTTGATCAAACCAAGAAGCCGGAGGCACGGCAGTCTGATCCGAAAATGTTGCCGAATATCCCGGCAGCCCCAAAAAATTACAAACACGTCTTCTGACCCTTAGTGCATGAAAAAGACTAAGGGAATACCCCTACAGGGGTCGAACCTAAAGGAGATTAACTCCCCCTAGGACTCTCGCAACAGCGACTTGAAAAAGAGAGAAGGTCTGTGAAAAAAAAAAATTGGGAAGGGGCTGTAACGAGATAGAGAGAGATATTAAAAGAGGCGGTGAAAGAGAGAGAGATGGGGGAGACGTAGGTTTGAGGCTCTAACACCAAAAAGTAACTTGATAAAATTGGCGTACTCAATTTGAGAGCCTGACTATCATTATATACAAGCGGAAAATTACAAATATGAAGAAGAGAATAAAATCAAATCAAAATAAAGAGAATAAAATAAAATCACATCAAATCAAAATAAAAAGAAAATGCCTAAAAATTAGCCTATATTGAAGACCCAATAAATCTGCCATAATCGTTGAGTCAACTTATAGATAAGATTTCCAACAGGATCCTATCGGATCTCCCCTGCAAAATCGGACGTGAAAGGTTGATTGCATAGTTGACCCAGCCCCTTGTTGTTTGAAAAAACCCTCCACTTCAATTGGTATTTTTTCACGAAAAGCAGACATGAGACAACAAATCCAGTGTGCATCACCAAATAAATATTCAGAAAAAATTCATGAACAGAAACTTAATTGCTTCAAATTTTTTAAATTGAAAATTGAAAAACCACCAAGTAGTGTGTAGCCTGGTGGTACTTACCTCCAGAGTAGAAAGTTGAGGTTTGTTCCATATGGGTAAAGTGAGTGTGTGAGTTTCAAAATAAGAAAATAAAAATGAAAATTGAAAGGATACACCGTTTTGAAAGCACCTTTTCCGATGACATCCTTATACTGTGAAAACCCATAATCAAACACTAAAACATGTCAACAAACTAAAGAAAGAAAAATGAAATTCAATGAAGAAATCAAAGTTAAGTAAAATAATACCCGAATATATCGAGCAGTTGGATCAGTCTCGATGATATTGGGATCAGGAGGCTCCGGGTTACCGGAACTATCGTCGGAGTTCATATCACCAAGCTGGCTTCCACATCTCAATTCAAAACTTGGAGCAGAATAAGAAAATTTTGAGTTTTGGTCACTACAAATTCCTAAACTGAACCAAAAAGCTCAATTCAAACATTGGAATGGGAGCTAACAGAATTTAACTTTTCAATTGAAGCAAAACATTGTTAATCCATATACATTGAAAACATATTTACAAATGCATCTTAATAACGAAACAATGATTAGAAATTTTAGGTTTTACCTGAAAACAGAGATTGTTCTTGAGCAAAAACGATGAATCCAACTGCGAATTGAACCCTAATCGATACACTTCTAGGAAAGAGAATTTGAACAGGTGTCGTTAGATCATCCTCATTGTGTGTGTCTCTCTAACTACTTCTCTCTCTCTTCTCAGCCAAAAAGATGACAGCTTAAATACGTTTCCTATTTATACACTAATAATAATTAATTGATAATGATGTGGTTTGGAGAAAGTTTTATTTTTTCAAATGGGTTAACTGAAAAAAAAAAATAAACAAATAAAATTAAAAAATAAATAAATAATCTCTACAGAGTATTCAATTAACTCCCGTTATTTAAAAAATTTCTTTGCATTTTTTATTTTGTACAAATAAAAACATTATGTCAATTTAATAATTAAGATATCTTAAATATCCCAATAAAAGAAATAAATAATAGGGTTAATTGACCCCTTGAGATTGGCGCATATTTCACCTAAATGGAGATTTGATTTTTAGCGACCACTTGGACCCCAATTAGTGATTTAACATTTCACTTACACCCAAAATGTCAATTTTTGGTATTAAATGACTATGTTACCCTTTGACCTCATATTGACTATTTTTTGTGACTAAACTGCCCCCAACACCCATTTCCTCCTCTTCCTCCTCTCAGGCAATCTTCCCAATTAACCCTAACTTCTAACCACCTCCTCCTTTATCTGACTCTGCTTCCGAGTCATTACTAGGAAACCTATTAATACAAGGACATGAACACAATAATCCTTTCTTATTTTCACCCAATTTTCCTCTCCTAATGCAGCTACAACCATGTGAATCTTTTCTCCTCCAATACAAATAAACAACCACTAAACCTATAAATGAGACTCTAATTGCATCGGCCACAGAGATCAATATGATCAGCCCCGGCTTCAGCCCTTCTCTCCTATCACTGTCGTCAGATTCCGACGATGGATTCTGATTTACAGGCAAAGTTCGGGTATCATTTTGACATGGTTTTTTTAACGGAAATCCGCATAACGACGGATTATTGAGAAACACCGTTGGACCTTGATTCGCAAACGAACCGGTCTGAGGAATTTCGCCGCTCAAATTGTTGTTTCGGAGATCAAAACTCACTGTCATCAGCAAGTTCCCCAATTCCAACCCACCAATCACCACCACCGTCAACAATCACTCCAAATAAACTAATCACCACCCTATCACTGAGTCCGAAATCCGCAACCTTCAAATCGCCTTTGTCGTCGACGAGGAGGTTGTCCGGCATCAGATCACGTCGACAAGCTGGTACGGCCGTGAATGACTAGCGGCGGCTCAGATGACAGCAACTGCGTGCTCGGGCGGTGGCTATGGATGAACTGCGGCTGTGCATGGGTGAGTCTGACCGGTGAATAGGATGGACTCGGGCTCGCCGTCGAGTTCGCTGCCGCCATCATCCGAAGCCACAAGCTCACTATCATCCGAACGGTCCCTGAGCTTGGGTTTTCTGCAACGCGAGAACTTCTCGACGGAGATAATCGAGAGCATATCGCTGGAGGACCTCCAACCGATGGTCAAGATCTGCATCCACAGTCATCAATCGCCGTCGATCACGGTAAAGAGGACCTCCAACACGCCGTGACTGCTCTCCTCAAGAAGATGTCAATCGGTGCGTGTGGCGCAATTTACGGGGTGCTGAGCTTGTCTTTGCCATGGTTTGAGTCTGATTCCGGTTCAGATTCGTCTCCGGCGGGGTTTGTTGGGTCTAGTGGGTCTCGGTGGCAGCCATCCTTGCCGAGTTTGGGTTTGATTTGCAAGGCTGTGGATTGTTGAATTTTTTATTTATTTATTTATTTTTCTTGTGGATTGTTGATTACGTGGTCTGATTTTGTGATTGGGGCATTGATTGTGGGGTTGTAATTGGGGGTAAGAATTGGTTTGTTTGATTGATTACAGAGGTGGTGATTTGTGGGTGCTTATGCACTTTTTGAGGTGGTGTGTTGGTGGTTGAAGGGGTTGGGTCTGCAGACACAGACAAGAGAGACGAAAGAGGGGCATTTATGTCATTTAAAATTTAAAATATTTTGTAGTATTAAAATTTTGAGGGTAAAAAGGTCAATTCGCATGTGTTTGAGACCAAAAATCAAATTGGGGTCTAAGTGGTCGCTAAAAATCAAATTTCTATCTAGGTGAAATATATGCCAACCTTAGGGAGTCTAGGTGAAATTAACCCTAAATAATAATAATGAAGAAGCAAAAAATTTTCTGTCTGCTCTATTTCTCTCCCTTTTTATTTTCTAATCCATCTCTCCTTATTGCAATCTTGTTTTTTCGGTGACTTCCATATTTGCCGACAACAATCATCCTCCATGGCTCGTTTTTGTGGATACATTGATCGTCAAATGCATAAAGATCTTCTTCTTAAAATAGCTTTAGCAAAAATACCAAGGTAGCGTTTGGGAGGGCTTTCAAATATGAAAAGGCCTTTTGGTAAGAAGGCCTTTACGTAAATGACGTTACAAGAAGGCCTTTAATACAAAAAATATGTTTGGTGGGCATCAATTTGGCAAGTCCTTTTAAATCAAAAAAGCCATTTCATGCGTTTGGTGACAAAATTTAAGAAGTCCTTTCACGAGTAAAACAATTTTCAATTTACAATGTTACCCTCATTTCATGGAGTTAAATATAAATTGAGCCATATAAAAGCACTACAGAAACTAAAATTATTCTTTTCAATTGTGTCATCTATATAACTTAATTATGTATAAATAATTGGTCAAATAGTAATAAATTTTATTTAAAGAAAAATAAATATGGGATAATATATTTATTTAAAAAAAAAAAAATTTAAAAGAAAGAGGCAATTAGTAAAAAAAAAAAAAAAAAAAAAGGTGAAAATAAATTGTAAACGAATTTGAACTAATTGGAAATTGTAAAAAATAATTTATCTAATTGCTTCCCATATTGATGCGGTGATTCCATCACGTATGACGCTCATTTCACCCAAAGGTTGTTTGTGACGGCCCAAGTTTTACAAAACCCGGTACATCTGTGAGTAACCCGAAATTGACCAAATAACGGATCCCAAATGTGGAAGCAAATAAAAGAACGAGGTCTCTAGAGATGTAAATTATCCCTAAGACGTCAACGTGGTTCCCCATGAAGTTACGGAACTCAAAAGATAATAATGTGGGAGCTAAGGTTAAAAATGGACTAAGTAGGATCCTAAGGGTAAAATAGTCTTTTCATATAGAAATGGGTGCTTCCATGCACACCATTAGATAGACAACGAAAAATTAACAAGTTTAGGCTTAAGAATCATTTGATTCGGAATCCGGACGACTAAGATATAGCCAAAATAAAGTCGGGTTTCAAAGCTGCCAATATGCAGGGTTCGAAGGTTACGGGTGCACGCCATCTTTGCATTGCGGGCAGACGCCAAATCCCACGGGCGCCCGCCAAAATGCGAAGTTGCTGGCCAAGAGAGGAAAATAAGGCTTCGAGAGGTTTTTAAAATGTCTAAATTGAAAATGCAATGTTCTAAAACGTTCACAAGACCTTCGAAAGTCCCGGAATGGTTGGTTCAGTTTTCAAAAAAAAGTCGATGAATAGTAACCATGCCCTAAAGTTCAAAAGATGGGTTTTGGTTTCGTTTTGGAAAATGTTGATTTTTAAGGCTAAAGATGAGCTCCTTTGGAAAAAGTTTGTGAAGTGAACCCCCCTAAAATTGAGTTTTCTACTCAACTATTGTTTGGACCAAAAATAAAATACAAGATGAAATACCCGAAATGCCCCCAACATAATGTAATATCTTAGAAGCTAAAACATAATGAAATTTCTCATACATTCCATTCAACCAAAAGAGATTGAAGTATAATCAAAATGTATCATCCAAGCTTACATTACATACCCAAAAAGAAGCAAGCCATACTTATAACAAGATACACTTTGTAACTACAAAAGATAGGCAAAACATGCTAACACTTGCATGATAATTATACACAAAAGATATCCAAAGGTAACCAAGGCAAGCTAAGAATATTATGCATCGCAAAAACAAGTCTCCTTTCTTGAAAAATACCCAAACAACTATGGTAAACGAGTTACTTAGTAGGATGAAGCATATGCATATACCCTAAAGTTTCAATGATTCTTTGCAATGTAATATAAACGGTTTCATGTGGTTCATGCCACCTAACGTCTATATTCCATTGGAGACCTAAAGGATCATCCTAAGCTATAATTGAAACAATTTGAAAGCAATCCACGATAGATAAACAATTAATTACCATGGTAATATTCCATGAGATACAGCAAGTTACAAATCCTAAGTTATATCAACTTGTAAATGAACGCGAAATCAAACAATGTGGAAAACTCGGACGCCTTTGTCGGATCAAACCAACGCAATGAAGTTATTTAGGGCACTAACTCGCTAGGAACCACCTAAGTGTGCACTATATGGGGAGAACCCGTACCTCCCGTGCTAGAGTCGTACTCTAGCTATTTCACAAGGTTGACGCCCTAAGTTTTATATCACCGAGCCTGGTGTTTGCCATTACCGATGGGCCGACTGGAAAAAGAGCTACAATGCTCTTATCAAGAGTCTACAGGGAGAGGCAGCCCAGGCAGCGGAGGACACAACAGCAGTGGAAGAGGCCGCTGAGGCAGAGGCAGCAGCAACAGCAACAGCGGCAGAAGGAGTTGGGATCGACTTGGAGTAGAAGCCTCCAGTGGGATCACCACACCCTTCTTAAGAGCATAGCCACCACTCCCAGAGCCGAGACGAGCATCAGTCTACTGGT